GTTTTCATTCTCCCCTGATTATCCTATGAGACTGCAAGACCCCTGACCCTCTGTCAGGACAGTGCTGATTGGCCCTGTGCCAATTACATGCACCCTCCCGAAGAACAAATAACACACCAAACTGAGCATGTACAGAGTGACTTCTAGAGCTCTGTACTATCAGCAGATGGATTGGGGACAGTAAAAGAAGGGGAGGATCAGAGAAGACAGGATCAAACAGCCTTTTTACACAATGCAGAGGATTAACCCCTTAGGTTCCACTGTGAGTATAACAAGTATGCTTTACTGCATATACAGACTGATTTTACTGTTGTGGGTTTAGTAACACTTCCACTTAGTACAGTACTTTAGTACAGTTCCACTTTAAGCACATCAGCAAAGTCAGGAGTCCTTATACATATTCCTATCATGGTTTCAAGTACTGAAGCCAGGGAGCCAGCCCGACAGCCAAGCATTGGCATTTTCATACATCAGTAATGATCTCCATATTTCTATGATAATAAACTTTAATAAGAGCATAAAGCTTTGTATTAATGTCACTCTTTGCTTCCCATAAACGATCTACAGCCAATAACCACCTGTTGTTCTGAAACCTGACTTGGGTGTAGCAATATGTCCGACCCTCCTTTTCCCAACTCAGCTGTATGGGTGTACCAAGATGGCGCAAAACTCAACCCCGTCCCGTCATCTCGCTAAGGCGTGGCAATCCCTTTGGTCGGCTTTCCGCTCGTTCTATACTGACCCCTTGCGGCCACCGTTCTCCCGGAACGCAAGCTAGGTAGATAGAGCCGTACGCAGGTAGCCAATAGGAGGCGGGTATTTGCCTCACCAAGACGACGGTCCGGGGACGAAGAGCTGCTGTGGCCGGGTCTGCCGGGACTTCCGGCTATGGTGGAGGAAGGAGGACGGCGGAGTGGTACTCAGTGTAGTGTGTACAGGTGAGTGTCGCCTCTATGGACTGGCAATGGATGGAGACACCTGTAGCTGTGTGCTTCACATTCGGCTGTGACTGACATCTCCTCATTACAGTTCTGTGTGCTCTCTTCTATTATCATCACCTACTTCCTGCTCTTCTCTCAGGACTTGTCTCCATTGGGGTCACATATCCAGCGCTTGCATGAAGATCGGTTCAAGTGCAAACGCGTTTCGCCTTTTTACGCCCCTTGTCACACCTGTGCCGGGCAGCGATTTTTATTTTTAGCGGGACAGCATAGGGAGTCGCTCACTTGATTGGCCAGCCCTACATGCGCCAAAGTAGCTCCAGAACTTTTTGCAGAGAGCTTCATGCGTTTTGATGCTTTTTTCGTGTGACTGCTACCAGCGTTTGGGGTACCATTAAGATTAACAGCACCGGAAGCACAATATGCGTTTTGGAGGGTTTTTTTTTTTGCGTGTTTAGGGGAATGAGAGTAGAATCACCCAGGTTCTAAATGGGGCCTTAGTAGAGCGCGCTCACGCCAGCGCAATGTGATTTGGCAGCAGTGCGATTGTAAGCGCGGTCCCGATGACTTCTATTAGACTGTGTGCGGTTTTTCAAAATCACATATTTTTGCAGCGTGCAGGATTATCCTGCGTGTTCAGGAAAACAGAGGGTCTAATAGAGTTCAATGGGAGCGCCCCTACAACAGCGGGGAAACCGCACCTGCCGTCACATCGGTGTACTAAAGCTGCAGACTCACCTCTGCATAGAAACCAATCCGCTTCTGACCTCGGCTTGTTCGATTAACCGCTTCCCGACCACCCTATAGCAGAGCTACTGCTGCACGGTTGCGCAAAATCACGTTATTTTTATTTCTGGTTAGGAAGCGCATATGCTGCTCTACCCGTACCACCATTGGCGGCTACAGATGTTGATCACCGGGTCCTGGCTGGAGATTCCCTGCTGGCAAGCACGGAGTATTACTGACGGGAGAGACCTGTGTGTAAACTACTCGGGTCTCTCTCCTGCCAGCAAGGACATACTGCTGTGTATTGTCCTGCACAGCAGAGGAATACACAGCAGCATGTTTACCTGGTAAAACACACACAATTAACCCTTTGATCGCCCCAGATGTTAACCCCTGTCTGCCCAGTGTCATTAGTACAGTGTCAGTGCTTTTTATTAGCACTAATCACTGTATTGATCAGTGACAGTTCCAAACCAAGTGTCAGAATGCCTGTCGCAGTCCCGTTATAAGTCTCTGATCGCCGCCATTACTAGTATTAAAAAAAAAAAAAAATTCCAGTATATATACCACCATTTGTAGATGCTTTAACTTTTACATAAACCAATTAATTTCCATGTATTGGAATTTTTTGTAGCAAAGACATGTAGCAGAATATATTTTGGCCTAAATTTATGATGAAATTTGACTTTTTAAAATTTTTTTACTGGACACGTTTTACAGCGAAAAGTCAGAAATATTGTATTTCTTTCAAAATTGTCGTGCTTTTTTTTGTTTATAGTGCAAAAAATAAAAACCACAGAGGTTGAATACCGCTGAAAGAAAGCTCTATTTGTGGGCAAAAAGGACATTAATTTATGTATAGTGTTGCATGACCGCGCAATTGTCAGTTAAAATAAGCTGTATCGCAAAAAAATGGCCTGGTCAGGAAGGGGGGGTAAATCATTCTCTGGATATTTAAGCTTTGGAAATACACTGTGTGCACAATTGTTTTATTATTTATTTCAGGTACTTCTATAGCGCCATCAATTTACACAGAGCTTTACATATACAGTGAGGAACAGAAGTATTTGAACACCCTGCGATTTTGCAAGTTCTCCCACTTAGAAATCATGGAGGGGTCTGAAATTCACATTGTAGGTGCATTCCCACTCTGAGAGACAGAATTTAAAATAAAAATTCAGGAAATCACATTGTATGATTTTTAAAGAATGTATTTGTCTTGCACTGCTGAATATAAGTATTTGAACACCTGAGAAAATCAGTGTTAATATTTGGTACAGAAGCCTTTGTTTGCAATTACAGAGGTCAAACGTTTCCTGTAGTTCTTGACCAGGTTTGCATACACTGCAACAGGGATTTTGGCCCACTCCTCCACACAGATCTCCTCTAGATCTGTCAGGTTTCGGGGCTGTCGCTGAGCAACACGGAGTTTCAGCTTCCTCCAAAGATGTTCTATTGGATTTAGGTCTGGAGACTGGCTAGGCCATTCCAGAACCTTGATATGCTTCTTACGGAGCCACTCCTTGCTTATCCTGGCTGTGTGCTTCGGGTCATTGTCATGTTGGAAGACCCAGCCATGACCCATCTTCAATGCTCTGACTGAGGGAAGGAGGTTGTTGCTCAAAATTTCACAATAAATGGCCCCATTCATCCTCTCCTTGATACAGTGCAGTCGTCCTGTCCCCTGCGCAGAAAAGCACCCCCAAAGCATGATGTTACCACCCCCATGCTTCACAGTAGGGATGGTGTTCTTGGGATGCAACTCATCCTTCTTTTTCCTCCAAACACGACGAGTGAAGTTTAGACCAAAAAGTTCTACTTTGGTCTCCTCTGACCACATGACTTTCTCCCATGCCTCCTCTGGATCATCCAGATGGTCACTGGCAAACTTCAGCCGGGCCTGGACATGTGATGACTTGAGCAGGGGAACCTTCCGTGCAATGCATGATTTGAAACCATGACGGTGTAGTGTTCTACCAACAGTGACCTTTGAAACTGTGGTCCCAGCTCTCTTCATGTCATTGACCAGCTCCTCCCTTGTAGTTCTGGGCTGATTCCTCTCCTTTCTTATCAGTGATACCCCACGAGGTGAGATCTTGCATGGAGCCCCAGTCCGAGTGAGACTGACAGTTGTCTTTAGCCTCTTCCATTTTCTAACAATTGCTCCAACAGTTGATCTATTTTCACCAAGCTGCTTGGCAATTGCCCCGTAGCCCTTTCCAGCCTTGTGGAGGGCCACAATTTTGTCTCTGGTGTCTTTTGACAGCTCTTTGATCTTGCCCATGGTAGTAGTTGGCGTCTGACTGACTGTGGGGTGGACAGGTGTCTTTAAAGAGCTCAGACAGGTGCTACTAAGTTAGATTAATGAGTGGAGTAGAGGTGGACTTTTTAAAGGCACAGTAACAGGTCTTTGAGAGCCTGAATTCTTGCTGTTTCTTAGGTGTTCAAATACTTATGTTCAGCAGTGCAAGACAAATACATTCTTTAAAAATCATACAATGTGATTTCCTGAATTTTTTTTTTAAAATTCTGTCTCTCAGAGTGGGAATGCACCTACAATGTGAATTTCAGGCCCTCCATGATTTCTAAGTGGGAGAACTTGCAAAATTGCAGGGTGTTCAAATACTTCTGTTCCTCACTGTATATTGTACATTCACATCAGTCCCAGCCCTCAAGGGGCGTACAATCTAAGGTCCCTAACTCACCTTCATGCATCCACATACTAAGGCCAGTTTAGACAGGATCCAATTAACCTACCAGTTTGTCTTTGGAGGTGGGAGGAAACCGGAGTACCCGGAGGAAACCCACACAGGCAGAACATGCAAACTCCAGGCAGGTGGTGCCGTGGTTGGGATTTGAACCAACAACCCTAGTACTGCCAGGCGGAAGTGCTAACCATTTATCCACTGTGCTGCCCAATTATTAGGTAAGCTGTATTTTTGAGGTTTCATTTTATTATTGAACAACTACAGTGCTCGTGTTCAATCCAAAATGTTAATAAACCTCAAACCTGAATATTTAAAAAAGCAAAAGTGGGGTTTTGGCTATTCTTAGGATAATATCTGTGTGCACAATTATTGGGCAACTATTAGTGTGTACAATGATTATGTAACTAAATGAAAAACAAACTTTTTCCCATCTCTCTTGTTTGTTTTCATCTGTTAACCACATCCCGACCACCCTATAGCAGATATACTGCTACAGGGTGGCAAGGATGTGCAAAATCATGTGTGTGTATATACGTGATTTTATACTTCTGGGTAGGGGGCGCGCACGAGCCCTATATGCACCGCCATTCGCAGCCGCGGTTGTCAGTTACCGGGTCCCGGCCAGTGATTCCCATGATGGTGCCCGGTGATTACCGAGTATCTCTAATGGGGAGGAGGGCTACGTTGTTTACTAACAGTCCTCCTCCCTATCTGCTCGGGCACACTGCTCTGGATGGCTGTGCTTAGCCATCCAGAGCAGTGTGCTTACAGTGAAGCACCAACACATCACCCCCCAGTAAAACACTCCCAACACACAGTTAACCCTTTGATCGCCCCTCATATTAACTCCTTCCTGCCCAGTGCCATTAGTACAGTGTCGGTGCTTTTTTTTTTTTTTTTTCCAAGCACTGATCACTGTATTGGTGTCAGTGACACCAAGTCAGTTCCTCCGAGTGTCAGAATGCTCGCCACAGTCCTGCTATAAGTCGCTGATCACCGCCATTACAAGTATATGCGATTTGTAAACGCTATAACGTTCGCATAAACCAATTAATTTGCACATATTGGGATTTTTTTTTTTTTAAGCAAAGACATATAGCAGAGTACAGTTTGGCCTAAATTTATGATAAAATTTGATTTTTTTTTTTTTACTAGACATGTTTAATAGCAAAAAGTAAAAAATATTGTTTTTTTTTTTTCTCAAAATTGTTGGTCTTTTTTTTTTTTTTTTTGTAGCGCAAAATAAAAACCGCACAGGCAATCAAATACCCCCGAAAGAAAGGTCAATTTGTGGGGGGAAAAAAAGGACGTAAATTTCCTTTGGGTGCAGCATTGCATGACTGTGCAATTGTCAGTTAAAGTAACGCAGCGCTGTAACGCAAAAAAATGGCCTGATCAGGAAGGGGGGTAAATCCTCAGGAGGGCAAGTGGTCATAGTGAGAATAATAAAAAACTCAATTTACAAATAAACATTAAAAAAAAAAAATCAGTGACCAATATAGCCACCCTTCTTTTTAATAACAGTCATAAGCCTTCCATTCGTGGAGTCTGTCAGTTTCGTGATCTGTTGATAATCAACTTTTTGTGCAGCAGCAACCACAGCCTCCCAGACACTGTTCAGAGAGATGTACTGTTTTCCTTCTCCGTAAATCTTTTGTTTAGGAAGGGCCCACAAGTTTTCAATAGGGTTTAGGTCAGGTGAGGAAGGAGGCCATGTCATTATTTTTCCGGCCTTTCCTGGCTAGTCACGCAGTGGAGTACTTTGATGCAAGTGATGGAGCATTGTCCTGCTTTAATATCATGATCTTCTTGAAAGATGCAGACTTTTTCCTGTACCACTGCTGTCTCTTCTAAAATCCAGCAGTAGGTTTGCGAGTTGATTTTTGAGTCCATCTTCAACCCAAAAAGGTCCAGCTAGCTCATCTTTAATAATATCAGCCCATACCAGTGCCCCACCTCCACCTTGCTGGCGTCTGAGTTGAACTGGTGTTCTGTGCCCGTTACTGATCCAGCTATGGGCCCATCCATCTGGTCTGTCAAGAGTCGCTCATCTCATCAGTCCATAAAACCTTTGAAAATTTTTTTTTCAGATATATCTTGGCCCAGTCTTGACATATCAACTTATTTGCCTAGTTCAGTGGTAGATGGGTTTGGGTTCCAGCCTTCCTTACCTTGGCCATGTCTCTGAGCACTGAACACCTTGTACTTCTGGGCACTCCAGGTAAGTTTCAGTTCTGGAATATGACCGCACTGGAGGATAATAGGTCCCTGGTAGCTTCACGTTTCATTCTCCTCAAATCTTTGGCAGTTAATTTGCGTCTTTTTTTTTCTGAACACGTCTTTTGTGACCCTGTTTACTATTTTCAGCAAAACGTTTGATGTTTCTGTGATCACACACCCCGAAGACTTTTTTTTTTTTTTTTTTACAATTTTTTACTTTTCAGTGTCCGTTAAATCACTTTTTTTGGCCCATTTTGCCCGAGGCAAAAAGACTCTGCCTAATAATTCACACCTTGATATAGGGCAGGGGTCCTCAAATTACGGCCCGCGGGCCAAATGCGGCCCGCCGAGGATATGTATCCGGCCCCCCGGCAGGGGCGTATTTGCCACGAGGAAGGGAAACTAAGTACAGGGGCGGGCAGTGGGCTGCTGTATCTTACCTGGCTCCGTTTCCCAGTCCCCCGACGATCCAGTCCAGGAAGCGCTGCTCCTTCATTCACTCCAGCCACTCCCTCACTCGATGTTCACGCTGCCGCTCAGCTCTGCCTCCTCACCGGTGATTGGGCGCCAGAATTGTAGCTCAGGAAAGGCACACAGGCTGCCAATCACCTGCGAGGAGGCGGAGCCCAGCGGCAGCTCGGACATCGAGTGAGGGAGAGGCCGGAGTGAAGGACAGCTGACGGGTAAGTGTGCCGTGCAGATGGTGCTGCTGCAACCAGGTTTGCTGGCTGCAGCAGCATCATGCTGGAACAGGGGTCAGCAAGTTAAGTGTCATTGGTGTCAGTGGGAGGAATAGTGCTCCATCATTGGTGTCACTGATACTAATGATGGGGCATTATTCCTCCCACTGACACCAACAATGGGGCACTATCCCCCCCCCCCCCCCCACTGACACCAACGATGGGGCACTATTCCTCCCCCTCACTGACACCAACGATGGGGCACTATTCCTCCCCCCCCCACTGACGCCAACGACGGGGCACTATTCCTCCCCCCCACTGACGCCAACGACGGGGCACTATTCCTCCCCCCCACTGACGCCAACGACGGGGCACTATTCCTCCCCCCCCACTGACGCCAACGATGGGGCACTATTCCTCCCCCCCCAGTGACGCCCGATGGGGCACTGACTCCCAACAGTGACGCCAACGATGGGGCACTATTCCTCCCCCCCAGTGACGCCAACGATGGGGCACTATTCCTCCCCCCCAGTGACGCCAACGATGGGGCACTATTCCTCCCCCCCAGTGACGCCAAACGATGGGGGCCTATTCCTCCCCCCCAGTGACGCCAACGATGGGGCACTATTCCTCCCCCCCAGTGACGCCAACGATGGGGCACTATTCCTCCCCCCCAGTGACGCCAACGATGGGGCACTATTCCTCCCCCCCAGTGACGCCAACGATGGGGCACTATTCCTCCCCCCCCAGTGACGCCAACGATGGGGCACTATTCCTCCCCCCCCAGTGACGCCAACGATGGGGCACTATTCCTCCCCCCCCAGTGACGCCAACGATGGGGCACTATTCCTCCCCCCCAGTGACGCCAACGATGGGGCACTATTCCTCCCCCCCCCCAGTGACGCCAACGATGGGGCACTATTCCTCCCCCCCCAGTGACGCCAACGATGGGGCACTATTCCTCCCCCCCCCAGTGACGCCAACGATGGGGCACTATTCCTCCCCCCCCCCAGCCCACTGACGCCAACGATGGGGCACTATTCCTCCCCCCCCCAGTGACGCCAACGATGGGGCACTATTCCTCCCCCCCCAGTGACGCCAACGATGGGGCACTATTCCTCCCCCCCCAGTGACGCCAACGATGGGGCACTATTCCTCCCCCCCCCAGTGACGCCAACGATGGGGCACTATTCCTCCCCCCCCCAGTGACGCCAACGATGGGGCACTATTCCTCCCCCCCCAGTGACGCCAACGATGGGGCACTATTCCTCCCCCCCCAGTGACGCCAACGATGGGGCACTATTCCTCCCCCCCCAGTGACGCCAACGATGGGGCACTATTCCTCCCCCCCCCCAGTGACGCCAACGATGGGGCACTATTCCTCCCCCCCAGTGACGCCAACGATGGGGCACTATTCCTCCCCCCCCCAGTGACGCCAACGATGGGGCACGTTTCTCCCCCACTGACACCAATGATGGGGCTCCATAAGACACACTTGGGGGGAAATGTCCTTGAGTCTTATGGAGCGGCCCAGTATTCCCGCTGCCGTTGTGTGTCCGCAGTCTCTGGTCATCTCCTGTACTGTGTCCGCAGTCTCTGGTCATCTCCTGTCCTGTGTCCGCAGTCTCTGGTCATCTCCTGTCCTGTGTCCGCAGTCTCTGGTCATCTCCTGTCCTGTGTCCGCAGTCTCTGGTCATCTCCTGTCCTGTGTCCGCAGTCTCTGGTCATCTCCTGTCCTGTGTCCGCAGTCTCTGGTCATCTCCTGTCCTGTGGGCAGTCTCTGGTCATCTCCTGTCCTGTGTCCGCAGTCTCTGGTCATCTCCTGTCCTGTGTCCGCAGTCTCTGGTCATCTCCTGTCCTGTGTCCGCAGTCTCTGGTCATCTCCTGTCCTGTGTCCGCAGTCTCTGGTCATCTCCTGTCCTGTGTCCGCAGTCTCTGGTCATCTCCTGTCCTGTGTCCGCAGTCTATGGTCATCTCCTGTCCCCGCAGTCTCTGGTCATCTCCTGTCCTGTGTCCGCAATCTCCTGTCCTGTGGCAGTCTCTGGTCATCTCCTGTCCTGTGTCCGCCCCCTCTGGTCATCTCCTGTCCTGTGTCCGCAGTCTCTGGTCATCTCCTGTCCTGGTGTCCGCAGTCTCTGGTCATCTCCTGTCCTGTGTCCGCAGTCTCTGGTCATCTCCTGTCCTGTGTCCGCAGTCTCTGGTCATCTCCTGTCCTGTGTCCGCAGTCTCTGGTCATCTCCTGTCCTGTGTCCGCAGTCTCTGGTCATCTCCTGTCCTGTGTCCGCACTGGTCATCTCCTGTCCTGTGTCCGCAGTCTCTGGTCATCCTGTCCTGTGTCCGCTCTCTGGTCATCTCCTGTCCTGTGTCCGCAGTCTCTGGTCATCTCCTGTACTGTGTCTGCAGTCTCTGGTCATCTCCTGTCCTGTGTCCGCAGTCTCTGGTCATCTCCTGTCCTGTGTCCGCAGTCTCTGGTCATCTCCTGTCCTGTGTCCGCAGTCTTTGGTCATCTCCTGTCCTGTGTCCGCAGTCTTTGGTCATCTCCTGTCCTGTGTCCGCAGTCTTTGGTCATCTCCTGTCCTGTGTCTGCAGTCTCTGGTCATCTCCTGTCCTGTGTCCGCAGTCTCTGGTCATCTCCTGTCCTGTGTCCGCAGTCTCTGGTCATCTCCTGTCCTGTGTCCGCAGTCTCTGGTCATCTCCTGTCCTGTGTCCGCAGTCTTTGGTCATCTCCTGTCCTGTGTCCGCAGTCTTTGGTCATCTCCTGTCCTGTGTCCGCAGTCTCTGGTCATCTCCTGTCCTGTGTCTGCAGTCTCTGGTCATCTCCTGTCCTGTGTCCGCAGTCTCTGGTCATCTCCTGTCCTGTGTCCGCAGTCTCTGGTCATCTCCTGTCCTGTGTCCGCAGTCTCTGGTCATCTCCTGTCCTGTGTCCGCAGTCTCTGGTCATCTCCTGTCCTGTGTCCGCAGTCTCTGGTCATCTCCTGTC